CATGATCACTCTACCCTCTTAGCTCTGGGAGGTAGACCGAGTTCTCTGGCATACCATCATGGCAGCGCCACCCTCCAGAACCCAGTTATTAAACACCTGACTACTGGAAACCTACGAATCTCTGGCCTTTTGAGATCCAGGAGACCACAGCCTCACCCTTGGAAAGCAAGAAGGCCCTGCTCCCGGCACCCCTCCCAACAGCCCTGCTCACCTCTCTGAGCTGCCCCAGGGACAGGCAACAGATGCAGCCCCTTGGACCCCTTTCCTGCTGGTAGAAATCCAAGAGGCAGAGGGCGCTCTTTCAGTCCCCTTCAACCTGAGCTGATGGATTTCCTGCCATGGTAGTTAGATCCAAGGTCAGTCCCCTTAATAACATTGGTCCGTGTAAGACATTAAAAAATTATAATAATTTCTAAATGATCAAGGGTTCATGTGAGAAGCTGATACCAAGGGCTCAAGTAGAAAGAAAATGCTTTGAAAAGGACGATGGCAACATATGTACAAATGTGCTTGACACGGTAGATGGATGGATTGTGATAAGAGTTGTACGAGCCCCCCAAGATGATTTTTTTAAAAAGATTGTGGAGCCCCTTTTTCTTGGTGAACATTCTAAGACACATGTCCTTAGTTTGTTCAATGGAATTTTCCAGATCTTTAAGTTCTGCTTTCATCTGGCACAGTTCATGTTTAAGTCCATTTCCTTCTCCTTGCATTTTACTATAAACAGCAAGGAGCAGCCATGTGGTGCCTTTTTAAGATCTTGCTTAACAATCTCCTTGGCTAGATATCTAAGTTTATCACTTACAAGTTCTACCTTCCGCTAAACACTGGAACATAATTCCCACAAGTTCTGTGCCACTGCATAAAAAGTATCGCCTTTCCTCCACTGTCCAATCACATGTTCATCATTTCCGTTTAAAGGTGCCCCCCTCCCGCACCCATTTGCAGCACTCATTTTTTATATAAATGTCCACAACTCAGGTTATAGAGTAAGTCCCACTGAGAAAAGAGTCCGTAGTTATATTTTTGTTATGTAGACTCCTGCTTTTTAAAATTGGGTCCCCACACGGGGGCACCTGCTGGTTTTAGAAGACTGGGGCTTGGCTGGCCAACCCTGGGCCCCCTTTCTTCTTTGGCGTGTAGTACATTGAAACCTTCTCTGGGCCCGCTGAGCCTGGAGCAGGGTTCTGAGAAATGGAGCTTTAGGGGTGCGAGGCCCAGGAGTCATGGAGGAAGTTAGAGATGGGGTAGGTGGGCCTGAGGCATTAGGAGGTGGATCCCGAGGCATAGAGATTGGACTTTGAGAGTGGGGGCACACAACATCCATGGGAGCGCGTAGGAAAGCCTGGGCTGTCTGCAAAGCTGGGATGACTTGCCCTCCTCTCCAGCCAGGGCTCTTCTCCGACTGGTCCACTTCCTGCTTGATCGGCATCTCCAGGGAAAGCCCGGGGTTCCTGCTGGTCCCCTCTTGGCTCTCTGTCCTGCAGTCCATATCCTCCCACAGAGAGGCCAGAGACTAGGAACACAGAGTCAGGCTGAGGATTTAACTAACCAGGAAGTGGGGTTATTGGGTGAGGCACCCCTGTCAAAATGTGCAAAAGGTCTGGGGGTTATGAGGAAGGGGAGATAACTATGTAGGTGGAACCCCTCTCTTTCATCCCCCTTGCCCTTTAATGTCCACACTTCTAGCAACATCCTGCTGCTGGCACCATATCTGTTTTCTAAGACAATAGAGACTTTCTTTGTGACTCACCTTACTTCCTCCTGAACCCTCACCAGAATTGCCTTTGATGTCCACAACACTGGCAACAGTCTCTTCAAGACAATCCAGCTTGCAGAACTCAGCCAGCCTTTACCCATAACCCAACTCCAAAACCATATCAGGCCACATTTTAGGGATCTTTTAGAGCAGGACCCCCGCTTCTTCACACCAACATTCTGTCTTAGGTGAGGTTCTCTAGAAGAGCAAAACCCATGAGTGTATGGCAATATAAACCTATAGATACGTATAAAAAGGACAACAGCCAAACAAACAGACATCACAGTCTAGTTGATGCTGACTCTTTGTGACGATAAAGGACAGGGTGGGCTGAAATCTTGCAGAAGCAGGCGGCCACATCGTTCCTGTTCCTCGTGTGTTCAAATCATGGTTAGCAGCGGAACGATGAACTCCTGAGCCACCCAAACCATCCAAACCGCCAACCCTACTGCCATTCAGTCGATTCCAATCCATAGCGAGTTTCTGAGCTTGTGGCAGTAGAGTTTCTGCGCAGATAGCCATATGACGGGGCTTGAACTGCAATCTTTTGGTTAGCTCTCCGACACCTCACTGGGGGCATCACCAGGGGTCCTTGCTGAACTCCCAAGACTCCTTAAATGTATGTAGAGAGATGTATCTCAAGGAAATGGCTCACATAGTTGTGGAGACTGGCAAGTCCCAAATCTGTGGGTTGAGCCTTGTGCTGGGGGCTTCTCGGATGGCACGCTGTTGCAGGGACGACAAGCCCCACACCAGCAGGTCAGACGGCAGGCTGCTGGCTCACATGCGAGCAACAGAGGTCAGGTGATGACAAGCCGGATGTAGGATTGAGAATGAGAGCCTTTTGCCAGAACATACGGATATGTAAATATTGGATGGAGACGGCACCTTCTTGGAAACTCATTTACGTCAATCACACCATAAAATGAAGAATTTAAAAAGTATTGAGAATCATGGTCTAGACAAGTTGAAATATACTAATATGGTTGCTAACCTAAAGGTTGAAGGTTGGAGATCACCCAGAGGCACTTCAGAAGGCCTGGTATCTATTTAAAACAAAACAGCTACTGAAAACCCTCTGGCCATAATTCTACTCTGGCACAAAATAGGGTGGCCATGGGTTATAATCAGCAACTGGCAGATAATCTTTAGTTTACAAGTAAAGTAGAATGAGTGTGTCTAAAAGCTTGGTTCAAATCCCACCTCTGCTACTTATTAGCTATGTATGTCTTGGGGCAAGTCACGAAGCTTTTCTGTCTCAGTTTTATCTGTGAAATGAGGCTATCATAGCAGCTGCTTCTTAATCAGTGAGAGCTATTGCTTCAGAGTACTTTTGGTACTTTACAAGTGTTGATTTGATGAATAGAGCAGGAATTCATTTGCCCCCCCACAACAGAACCCTAGGTGTTCTTTTTCACTTCTCCACCTACCACATCAACCACTCAGTCACAAACCCCAGGAACGCTCCCTCTTAAACCTCCCTCTTAAACGCTCCCTCTTTAGCCTCCCATTTTATTCCATCTTCACTTTAGTCCAAGCTCCATCTCCATCTTCCCCTACCCCTCCACCACTCAGCCTCCTAGGCTGGTCTCCCCGCTTCCACCCTGGCCTCCTCCCATTCACCTTTCCCAGAGGAAAGACCTCATCATGAGTCTAAAGGTCTATGTGTGTGAGCTTGTTTTTCAATCCCTCTGGTTCCCCACACCTCCTCTCTAGACTCTCTCAACCCCTCTGTGACTCCCAAGATATTCTGAACTTCTCTCATAGTCTTCTGATGAGTCACATTTTCTCTTGCCCCCGGGGCTTCATACAAAGAGTGTTTCTCTGCCTGGAACAAGCCCCCTGCTCACTCCTTCAGCGCACACCCTTCACCGACTGCTACTCATCTTTCATATTTCAGCTTGAATGTCATTTCCTAAGGAACATCCCCCTCACATGGGCTTCCACAGTGCTCTGTTCTTCCTCAACAACAGAGCTTATTACAATACGTCCTCTATAGTAACACTTGTTCTACTGTGAGGACTTGTTTAACACCTGCCCGCCACCACTAAACCGGTCCCAAGATAACACAAATCCCTTGTTGTCGCCCCAGCAATAACTAGAGTCTTTGGCAAATTGTAGGCGTTCAAAGAAATTTGTTGAATGAATGATTAACTATATACTTGAGTGAATGAACGCATAAATATACGAATGAATGGGTGAATGAACGGAAAGACCCTGTTCTTAGGCTATGTCGCAACAGACATTCCAAAGTGCCTCAACAGGTTCTCACCAGCAGGGTCTCAACCTCAACAGGGTCTCACCTGGCTGCAGAAGGGACCGCCACGTGGGGGCGTCCCAGGGCACGTGCGGGCCACAGGGGGGCGCCTCGGGATCACGGTATCTGCTGGGCACCTCCGACTCGGTTCGGAATCACCAATGAGCGGCAGGGGGCGGGGTTGTCCCGCTGATAGACAGTGACGCTCCGCCCAATCTAATTCATCTTTTCATTGGCCCCGCCCACCCACGGAACTGGGGGCGGGGCGGGGGAGACCCTCGGGGTGGGCCTGACCGAGGCTTCGCCAACTGAACTCCAGCCGGGCGCTCTCCAGGCCGAACCTGCGGGGGTGGCGGTCTGTGAGTGGGCGGCCCGCCGCTGGGGGCGGGACCTCTAGTTGACGGGCAGGTGAACGGTCCCGCCCCTCTCGCCCAGAGCGGCCGCGCCAGCGCCGCCGACAGCAGAAGTAAGTACGTGCGCGTCGCAGCAAGATCCCGGCTCAGACCCCGGACGGCGCCCGGAGCTCCCGACCGGACTCGCGCCCGCAGTCAGCCAGCTGCCGGATTACCGTGCATCGCGAGCCACGGCCACCCGCGCCCTCCCGCCCCGGCTCGCTTCCCCGAGTCCTCTGGCTCCCAGCGCCCCGGCTTCGCGGACCCCCCTGGACCGGTCCGTCCAGATTCCCGCCCCGCTGAGGATCGCCGAGGTTGAGGCGCCGCCTCGGCCTGGATCGCAGCCCCCATTGCCCGGACCTCCTGGGATCGTACGCAGACCGTGCCGGGAGCCCGCCGAACGGACCCGCCCCGGCTGCCCG